TGCGGGAATGTGACTGTCCACGCCCTCTGTCACCCACAAGATTGCTAGTGAACAGGAGATGTCAGACACTGGGCTTTGGACCGTGGCGACTTTGGTTTTGCTTTCCTAGGCTCGGGATCGCGCCCCGATTCTACTTTCCTCTCCCTGAAAAACCAGTGTTTAACTTAAAAATGGGAAAAAATAAACTTTTGTATTTTTACACTGGAATTTACAGAAGCCCATAGGTATCACAGTGAAGGGACAAAAGAGTTGATGAGGGACTTTGCGTATCCTAGAGATGCTTGAATCTTGAAAGAGACTCTGAGACATTTAACATTTAAGGAGATTGAACGTTGAAGGTTTGAATGATTAAATGGTTTCGGCGGCCTCTATGTAGTTTGTTTGTGGACTATTAGTTTTCTATGCTTTTCATTTGTTTATGCTGTAAACTGTTTAACGACGCAAAGGTGCACTGCATTCTTTTCTGTTGCGTTTGTCATTTTGCCTGCCTAAAACAACTGACTGGTCTAATAAGGAGCTGACCCGCCAATAGCCAGTTGGGAGAGGGATAGGCGGGGCTGCCAGGCGGAAGGTGAGCGGTGTGTTTGTGTGTTGTTTGTGTGCTGAGATACTGGTTGAAACGCCCTCTGTCCAATCACACCCGGAGCCCGGCAGCTCTCAAGCATCTAGAGCCATGCAATTGGGAAGGAGGCACCCTTATCCCTACGCGGACTGTTCCTGCGCCAGGGAGCACAACAAAGTCTGGGGCTAGGGCCTTGTCTCGGGCTCTGGCCAAGAGAGGTCCACCAAGTGTCCACTCTGAGAGAGACAGCCAATCTGTGTGGGGACAGACAGCACTGTGCGGTGTTTGTGGTGTGTGGGTGGAGTCAGGGGCTCCTTAAAAGAAACATGGGGCGCTTGGAGTGGGCGAGAGTACGTCAAGTCCTTTTAAGTGGACTTGAGGAATTGGCGCGTGTGGCTGTGGCACAGCTGATGCAGTGAGTGGCTGGCTCAAGTGGAGCAGAGGAGACCAGGCTGGTGGGCTGCCTGTGGATCACGGGAATGCAGCTGGCTGCTGGAGCACTTGCCAGGGATGGGCAGGAGGAGATGTGTGGCGCCGAGAACCTTGGAGCCGGACATTGCAGTGTGCGTGCGTGCCTCAGAACCAAAAGGGACTGGTCTCTGCATGGGCCGGGAATCGAACCCGGGCCTCCCGCGTGGCAGGCGAGAATTCTACCACTGAACCACCCATGCCATGGACAACACCATTCCCCACGACCGCCGTCACAGCCCGTGCTCGCCGCCGAAGGTCCCACCACCGGAGAGCTCCCTCCTCTTGCCCTGGCAGGAAGGTCCTGGGCCCCGGCTCCATACACCCGGCAGGGGAGCGCCAGGGACACGGAGACCAGAGTCCCGGGTCCACACTGACGGTGAGCTCGCGGGGTGAGCCGCGCCTCTCCCGCCCGGACGCCAGGGCCCCAAGTCAAGCCCGCCGCTGCGGGCGAGCCAGCGGCCCGGCGGCCGGCCGGGTGTCTGTGCGTGCGCCCAGCGTCTGCCAGGTGTGCGTAGGGAACGGCCACCCGCGCAGAGCAGATGCCTCGACGACCCCAGCCCGACAGCAGGGGCGCTGTGGGCGTCTCCCGCACGAGTTTGGAGGGAACGGAATGGGCGAGAAAGAGCTGGTGGACGCGAGTTCGGGGCTGTCAGGGTGGGCTGAGTCGCGCGTGGGTGGACGCGGGTTCCCTAAAGTCCCTGGCTGGCCGGCGGGCTGGCGGGCTGCTCCCTTGCCGCCTGCCGGGGTGCTCAGGACCGGCGGCCTCCTTCCCGCACCCTCCCCGACGAAAGGCGTAGCAAGATGACCACCAGTCGCCCCATCAGAACCCCCCTCCATTAGTAGCTGGTGGGTTTTGAGAGGAGGGCGCTCCTGCGCGTACAGGTGTGCTGCGTAATGGAAATTTGTCGGGTGCCAGGCGAGAGGCCGGGAGGAGGGGTTGTGGAAACAGGCGAGAGATGCGGTTTCTAGGGTTGGGGTTTGCAAAACAAAACACCAAAAAATCAAAGTTGTCAGGAGTGGGATTCGAACCCACGCCTCCAGGGGAGACTGCGACCTGAACGCAGCGCCTTAGACCGCTCGGCCATCCTGACTGGGCTTTTGTGTCGGAGGCCACTTTCCTGGCTGGCACCAGTCCCCAACGGGATTATCCCTGCCCATCCGGTTTGAGGACGAGGCGTTGCTTGCTAGACTCGTGATGCTCCTAGTTCCCAATGTCGCTCTGGTTTCGGACAGGCTCTCTGTATCTGCTCCCCATCCGACCCAGTGCCGCGATTGTTTTACACCAGCCTCTCCTGATACCTTCGGCGAGGCTTTCAGCCATTTATTAGTGGTCAGAGTTCACATCACCCCTTGCTCAGCCAGAGCCCTATGGATGGTTTGGTTACTTTGTGTTAAGGGTCGGTGCATAGGTTGGAGGGGCATCCTTTCCTTGTCCAGGAGGGTGTAGGCATTTGTGCGGATGTCTATGGAGTACCAGACCGAGCCTGGTTTGACCTTTATGGTGTTGCAGGTAGGTTAATTCTCAGTGCTCGATTGGATCTGAGAATCCTGTGGCGATGATAATGATAGCACCATCACAATTCTCGATTAATTTTTGGTCACTGTTTTGTACAATTTACTCAAATATCAAGAAGTAAAATATCTTTATCTAGTATTTCTCAACCATGTATAACCGTCTGTATTTGATGTATGCTTTGAACATTTTGTTTCTTCTGAGTTTTGGTTTGATGTTTTTTTTTTTTTTTTTTTTTTTTTTTTTTTTTTTTTTTTTTCCTGAGTCCCGCTCCTGCAGAGTTCTGAAGTTCAGGACTGAGGTGTGAATTTTTTAAAATGAAGAGTCTGACCGCTGGTTGTATTTGAAACACAGCGCTCCAAATAGCACGATCTGTCTCATTTGTAATGCCTTTTAAAGTATTTATTATGAATTCAAGCATGGGTAGTTTCCATTCATTTCTCTTTAATCATTTTCCAAGCTATTAACATTTATCCATTTACTTTCTTTTTTACTTCCTCATTCCCTTGTCCTCATTAACTATCCTCTTCCAGGTATGTAAGCATGAAATTTAATTATTCCAACCCAAACAATTATATCTACCCAGGTGCATCCTATTTGTACTTTTTCAGGCTGTTTGTAAACATGAGATTTAAACAAAGACATTCAAACACTGTGATTAGTCCTTAACCATACGATGCTTTCATATTTTTGTAGTGAGCAGAGAGTATGATCTCATACCTAGAATAGTATTTTTCAGGTTAAGTCAATTTCTTAAAGGTCTGCATACTGTTTTTATGTGAGCGTCACTTGCAATCCTGTTCTGTGTACATTCCCAGAATGGCAATGATTACTACCTCACTTTTAACTATTGAGACCAAGTTTCTATTCTTTCTGGAAGTTTCTACTTGTATTTTTACTTCGAAGGGAACTGGGAGATTTAGATTCTTTTCTTGATATTTTGGCATTGGGAAAATGTCTGACCTTTCATGCCCTGGTACCAGAGCCATGTCTGGCCTTAATGCCCATTATCTTTCCTTTTATGTTCTATAAATTCTTAATGTCATCTTAATGTCATTCTCTCTCTCTCTCTCTCTCTCTCTCTCTCTCTCTCTCTGAACATTTAAGTAAGCAACCTTAGTGAGTTCATTAACCTTAATGAATCCCTCCTGCTTGCTCAAGGTGACTGCAAAGGCAGTCAGGGGCAACTTGAGGAACTGATTTCTGTCATAGACTGCAAAGAGGCTTAATTTCCTTGCAGAAACTTTAGAAAAAATTTCTGCTTTTGTTCCCAGTAAGCTCAGTCACAATCACAACTGACAAAGCAAAATTAAGAATTAGCATAGAAGCCGGACATTGGTGTCTCACACCTTTAATCCCAACACTCGGGAGGCAGGGGCAGGCAGATCTCTGTGAGTTCGAGGCCAGCCTGGTCTCCAGAGCGAGTGCCAGGATAGCTCCAAAGCTACACAGAGAAACCCTGTCTCGAAAAAACAAAAAACAAAACATAAAAAAAAGAATTAGCATAGAAAAAGCATGGGAAAAGTTACAAAAGCCTGATGCCTGTGAGCTGCCTGAGATCAGAGCAGGGGTCTGTAGTATTGCCTCTATAGGTCCTTACCAGGTGGGCAGGATTCTCCAAAGGGCTTGGCATAAGGAGTTCCATTTGCAAAACATTTATGGGCCATTTCAGGAGGTTACAACATGGCTTCTGCCAGTTTTTGTCCTTATATTTTTCAATATTGTAAAAACACCCCTTTTAGATAAAAACAAAAAACTACTTTAGTTTTTCATGAGTCAGAAACATGTCTAACCCCAGGAAAATAATGACACAAAATCTGAAAAAGAAAAATGTTTCTCAAGGACAATCACAGTCTTTGATGCATTCCCAATTTTCTGTCTATTTGTGAAGTACTTGCAGCAATGAAGGAAGATTTCATATTCCATTTTAATGATACTTTGCCTCTATTACTGATTTTGTTCATGTTATGTTGCTCCAACATTTAAACTCTTGTAGATCACAAACATCATCTTAAATTAGTCGCCATATGTAAGATATTTACTTATGTAAGGAGTACTTAAATACAAAATAGTAAGTATGACTGTAGAGGAAAAAGGTAACTAAGCTTTGTACATGTCTGGTGTGGTGGCACCAACCCATGGAAAGTAGACACCAGAGGAGGATCAGAGTTTAAAATCATCGGAAGATACTGAAGTGAGATTTACTAAATAAGACAGTCTAAAATTAATTAATGGCTTGTTTGATTAATGTATATCCATAGGCAGGAGAGATGACTCAGTGGTTCAGAGCATTAACTCTTTTCCAGTGAAGCCTGATTCAATTCCTGGTCCCAACATAGGGTCTCACAACCCACTGGAACTCAACTTCCTAGGAATTTGACGCCCTCTCTGGACTCCATTTGGTACCCATGCACACAGAATAAGCAACCAGACACATAAAAATAAACAACATGATATTTTTTAAAAAGTTTATCAGACAGCAGATTTAGGGGTGTATATTATTATCTATTTTATTTCTCTTATGATGCTGAGTCTGGTATGCAGGTACTGTCACTGACTCATACCAACAAACATAAACCTTTACAGTGAAATAGGATATTGGAGCAGATATTTAAAACAAGAAGGAAAGCCATAATAGACTGCCATGAGCCTAGGCGCCCCATCACACCCACGAAGGAACAGGCATGGAATGCCCATATCAGGGAGGTGAGCAAACACAGGAGTGCTTGTACTGTCAGGATGGCCGAGCGGTCTAAGGCGCTGCGTTAAGGTCGCAGTCTCCTCTGGAGGCGTGGGTTCGAATCCCACTTCTGACAGGTTTGTTTACTTTTTACCACACAAACTGAAACCAGAGAAACGATATCACATACCTCCTATAGAAAACCACTCCATTGTCACCCATCTCTTCATGCACGCAACTTCCCAGGTCAAACAATTATGGAGAAAAACCATCTAGTAACACAAAATTCTGTTGGGGAGCATTTGGTAAAGGCTTTGCTTGCTACCAGTTGGGAAGAGATCACAGAAAATGGAATAACAGTGCCTTTCCTGAGCATTGGAGCCACAGGGCAGCCACGCAGTTGCAAGTGCCTTCTGGAAGCAGAGGCCTTCGTGCACACGAACGTCCAACACCTAGACTTGTTCGTGTAGTGTTTGGAGCAATAACTTTCGGGCCCAGTACCAGTACCTCTTGCTGATTCCATTTCCTCCAACTCCTGCAGAAGACACCCACCGCGCCCATCTTGCTCCTCAGTGCTCTTCGAGGCAGCTTCTCTGCTGGTGGCCTTTCATGCGCACAATTGCGTTAGGCTTCGTGTACGAAAAGATACTCACCCACCCACGGGCCCCAACACTAGCTGGCCTGCAGGAAAACGCAGAGGAAATGCAGTTAATGCGGCCTGAGTTTATATCAACCACTTCTAATCCCTGACCACCTGAAAAGGACCCGATGAACCCACAGAAGAGGCTTTTCCTGTGTCCAAACTTAACACACATTAGCAAATAGAGAGGTAACACAGAGAGGAGGGTGCATGGTGGTGGCGGTGGCGGTGGGGAGTCAGCTTGGGAGCGAGCAGGGAAGGAGGGGGTTGACATGGGATTACCAAATTAAAAGAGAAGAGGTTCACTCAGAGAGCCTAAGTATGAACCTGGGGCTTTCCTCTCCCATGTACAGGCTGCTTCTCCCATTCAACCAAAGGACATTTTCACAAGGATGGAAACAATACGACACTTCAAACAAAAGCCCAATCAAACCTACGAAGTTTTAGAATAACTTTGACTCTCCTTGACCCTCTAAGCCTCTCACACCTTTGCTCCTCTCGATCCCACTGTGTAACCCCGTATTTTCTAACTCTCTCTCGCTTTCATACTGACACACATGGGTATAAACACAAACATACACACACACACACACACACACACACACACACACACACACACACACACAAAACACATACAAACAAAAGATATCTGGTCACTTGTTAATTAATCACACATTATCCTAAGCATCAGCCTCAACCTCAAGGGGGAGGATCAAAGATTCACCATTCCCAACAGCGAATGGCCGCAACACAGTCTCTCGGGCATTTATTTCCCAGCTGCCCTCTGCCACTTG